GGGACTTGAACCACGGTCAACTACATGGGAGTCCAGCGACATAGCCATTACGCTAACTGCTGGTCCCGGGATACAAGCATTTTTTAAAGAATTATTTTATTATAATTTTATTGAACTTTATTATTTATTTATTTATTTAAATTTGAACAGAGGGACAGAGAGAGAGAGAGGGGAGAGAGAAAGAGAGAGAGAGAGAGAGAGAGAGAGAGAGAGAGAGCAAGCCATCAGGTTCAGGACTTGAACCACGATTGGCCATGTGGGAGTCCAGCACCCTTAACCACCATGCCACCTGCCAGCCCCAAAGTAGTTTCACTTTCTCTGAATATGACAACCGGAGGCAGAGACGTGAGCGCACTGCTGAAACTTCCAACCCTGTAGGACGTGAAGACTTGCAGGTCTCTGAGGGGACGTCTGTAGCAGGCCCCAGGGCATTGGCTGAGCTGCAGAGCTCCGTGGCGTCGTGTTCAACAGGGCTTGGTAAACAGGAGTGTAGACAAGCAGATTGCACATTTATAGTGCTGGGAGCTGGAGATGCAGCACGTGCTCAGGTTAAAGTGGGTTAGTGTAGATGGTCACTGAGGGGGAGACGTCCTGAGAGGTTCTCAGAGACACCGGGGTTGTCCCGAGCAGGCATCTGTGGACTCCAGGGCTTTGCCAAGTGCGGTCCTGGGACACGCTTGGCATCCCGCCCTGGTTAATGCACTCCGCCCCTGGTTCCCGGCGAGCCTGCGACACACAGCAGGACTTTTGTTCCCCTTCAGGTTTAGACAAAACGGGAAGCAAAGCTCTGTACCTCTCGCCGCCCCACCTCCACCTCCACCAGGTCGTATCACCTTTGCGGGTGCGTCATCTTCTGTTTGGGGTGCTTTAACAGGATGAGCTGATAGGGTGCCCAGACCGCTCGGAGTTACGTAACCCATTGTGCTTCCAGGGCGGCTCAGAGTCTTAGGATTTGCCCCAACAAGCAGCTCAGAAAACTGCTGAGGGAGGCAGGGAGGGGGCTGCCCTGCTCTGCCCGGGCCCGGCTCGCATGGACGATCGCTGCTTCCTCTGAACTGCCCTCGGAGTCCGCGGCTGCCCATGGCATTGGTTTTTCAGTTCGGGCAGCCCATCGCGGCCCAGCCTCTGCCAGGACTCTGCCGGGGCAAGCTGGTCCCAGCAAGCTCGTGTGGTAAGTGTGTGTGCGGGGAGTGAGTGTCCACTGCTTTCTCTGTGGTGTGGCCGGGACGGAGCAGGGACCATGGGAGAAGAGGCTTCTCTGCTCTATGCTGTCTGGGGGCTGTCCTTGGCCTGTGGCCCTTCAGAGATCTGTCCCCTTGTCCAGGCTCAGAGGAGGCAAGTGACCCCGGCAGGGTGTGAGCAGCAGGGCTGAGTTAGATCTAGCACCCGGACTCCACCAACAGCTTTTTCTTCACGGTTCTCTGCAGGGACCAAGCAGGGCCTCTCGGGCCCTATGCTGTGGATTCTCGAATCCTGTTTTCCTCCTGGTTTCTTAGAACCTCACCTTGTGACTCGGGTCAGCGAGGGAATGTTTGAAAGGTGAAGACAGACTTGGACGGTGCCTCTGCCCTTCCCTCCCTTCTCGCTTCCTTCCCTCACCTGCCCCTGCTTTCTTTTCCCTTTACTCAGTGCTCGGCCCAGTGACTCCACTCTGCCCCCACCCTGGTGAGGACCACGGGCTGGCTGATCCCTGGCTCTGGCTCGTCCCTCGCTGTGGGTGGATATTTCTTCCTATTCCTCTACCCTCAGCGGAGTCTGATGGCTGATGACCCATCTGGCTTCTGTCCTGTTTCCTCAAAACTGAGCCCCAAACAGTGAATTCCGAGACCATGAGCCCCACTTGTCCTGCTCGTCATTTTTAGGTTTCAAGATATGTAACTCTGGGACCAGCAGTTAGCGTAATGGCTATGTCACTGGACTCCCATGTAGCCAACCGCAGTTCGAGTCTTGGACCCAGTGGCTTAAACTCATGCCCGGCGCGGGTGCATGCGTGCCCAAGATCCCGAGAGGAGAATGGAGGAGAAGGGATTGCGGTGTGGCCATCCCGCTAGGGGCTGATTTCTCACTTTCTGTCTCTCTGTCTCTGTCTTTCTAGTGGGCACACACACTCTATAGCAAAAATCTCTCCAAAAAAAAAAAGATATGTGACTCTTATTGAATCGGTCTAAAATCGCTGTGAAGCGCACGATGAATAAGACCCATGTGTGTCGAACCAGCGTATCTCGAGGGTGGGTTTTTTGCTGGGACTTCTGTAACTGCTGGGGTCCCTCACTGAGAACTGGCCCCAGCCTCAGTACAGTGGTGGGCAGAGGTGTGAACCGTGAACTGTGTGAGAAATCACTCAGAGAAGGTGTGCCTTGGATGAGGCTTCTCTGCTCTATGCTGTCTGGGGGCTGTCCTTGGCCTGTGGCCCTTCAGAGATCTGTCCCCTTGTCCAGGCTCAGAGGAGGCAAGTGACCCCGGCAGGGTGTGAGCAGCAGGGCTGAGTTAGATCTAGCACCCGGACTCCACCAACAGCTTTTTCTTCACGGTTCTCTGCAGGGACCAAGCAGGGCCTCTCGGGCCCTATGCTGTGGATTCTCGAATCCTGTTTTCCTCCTGGTTTCTTAGAACCTCACCTTGTGACTCGGGTCAGCGAGGGAATGTTTGAAAGGTGAAGACAGACTTGGACGGTGCCTCTGCCCTTCCCTCCCTTCTCGCTTCCTTCCCTCACCTGCCCCTGCTTTCTTTTCCCTTTACTCAGTGCTCGGCCCAGTGACTCCACTCTGCCCCCACCCTGGTGAGGACCACGGGCTGGCTGATCCCTGGCTCTGGCTCGTCCCTCGCTGTGGGTGGATATTTCTTCCTATTCCTCTACCCTCAGCGGAGTCTGATGGCTGATGACCCATCTGGCTTCTGTCCTGTTTCCTCAAAACTGAGCCCCAAACAGTGAATTCCGAGACCATGAGCCCCACTTGTCCTGCTCGTCATTTTTAGGTTTCAAGATATGTAACTCTGGGACCAGCAGTTAGCGTAATGGCTATGTCACTGGACTCCCATGTAGCCAACCGCAGTTCGAGTCTTGGACCCAGTGGCTTAAACTCATGCCCGGCGCGGGTGCATGCGTGCCCAAGATCCCGAGAGGAGAATGGAGGAGAAGGGATTGCGGTGTGGCCATCCCGCTAGGGGCTGATTTCTCACTTTCTGTCTCTCTGTCTCTGTCTTTCTAGTGGGCACACACACTCTATAGCAAAAATCTCTCCAAAAAAAAAAAGATATGTGACTCTTATTGAATCGGTCTAAAATCGCTGTGAAGCGCACGATGAATAAGACCCATGTGTGTCGAACCAGCGTATCTCGAGGGTGGGTTTTTTGCTGGGACTTCTGTAACTGCTGGGGTCCCTCACTGAGAACTGGCCCCAGCCTCAGTACAGTGGTGGGCAGAGGTGTGAACCGTGAACTGTGTGAGAAATCACTCAGAGAAGGTGTGCCTTGGGAACCAGCAGTTAGCATAATGGCTATGTCGCTGGACTCCCACGTAGTCGACTGCGGTTCGCGTCCCGGACCTGGTGGCTTAAAACTCACGCCGGGCGCGTGTACGTGCATGCCCAAGATCCCGAGAGGAGAATGGAGGAGAAGGGATTGCGGCGTGACCATCCCCCCTGGGGGGTGATTTCTCGCTTTCTGTCTCTCTGTCTCTCTGTGTCTCTCTGTCTGTCTGGCGAGCGCACGCGCCCTATAGCAAAAACCTCTAAAAAAAAAAAGTGTGCCTTTTGGTACCTGCTGTGTCTGGAAGTACTTTTCATCTCAGGGACGTGATTTCAGATATAGTCCTTTCCGGTCACTAATGTAAACTAGCAAATATGTTTTATCCTCCAAAAAATGCAAAAAGGGAAACATCAATGTTCAAGGGACTTCTTGCACATTTTATTAACTAAATGTCTTGCTTATCCACTCCTGTCCAGTGTAATGTTTTTAACGTGTTGCCGCTGCAAAGTTGTCGTCGAAACAGAACTTCATCGGCTACGTGAATGAGCGAAACAGAAAGATTGAGCAATGAAATGTGCTTCTTGGACAGAGTGAAAAAATATAAATTAGAATCTGTGGATTTACAAATAGTTTCCGAATTTACAATTTAGAAATATTTTGGCTTATTTTCCGAGTGGAATCTCCCCTATTGAACAGTTGATTTTTGGGGAGGGTCCTATTAGGCTCATTTTTGACAGAATAACATAATAACATTTTGTCTTTACAAAAGCTCTTACCCATTGGGACCAGCAGTTAGCGTATTGGCTATGTCTCTGGACTCCCAGGTAGTTGACTGCGGTTCGCGTCCCGGGCCTGGTGGATAAAACTCATGCTGGGTGTGTGTGTGTGTGTGTGTGTGTGTGTGTGTGTGTGTGTGCCCAAGATCCCGAGAGCAGAATGGAAGAGAAGGGATTGAGGTGTGGCTATCCCCCCTGGGGGGGTGATTTCTCACTTTCTGTCTCTCTCTGTCTGTCTGGCAAGTGCAGGCGCCCTATAGCAAAAACCTCTTAAAAAAAAACCAAACAAACACAAAACCAAAAATTCTTACCCATTCACCTCTGTCTTTTAAATACACTGTACATAACATTTGTGGCTGCCAGCTTTTCTTCCTTCGCAGTCCCTCATCGTAAGCTGAGTGAGTAGAATATTTATCACACACAAATTTTGACATCAATTGTAAAATTTAGTTCAAGTGTATCAGTACAATTTTTGACATGTGATTGGAAGGGGGCTATAGTTTCCAGGTACTTGATAGTTTTTTTATTCTCCTTCTAATTGGTTTTAGTTTTTATATTAAACAACTTTTTACTGTATCTTGTATCCTCCGAGTGTTGCAGTCTTCTGGTGCTTGATACTCTTAGGATGTTGGTAAATAATAAATTGCAACAGAAATCAATGCAGTTGCTGGCCAAGCTGGGCCTCAGCCCTCAGCACCCTCTTCTGTCTGCTCAGCTGAGCTTTCCTGTAGGGGCTTTGGCCAGGATCGACTGAGGAAGGGTGCCGGGCACTCCACTGCCAGGATCAGACTGACCCAGGGGATTGGGCATGTGACTCCAGGATTCATAGCCCCCAAAGGAACTTGGGAATCCGAAACTTGGTGTTCCCACCCCTCACTTCCCATGAACATGGAAAACCTTGAGAGAATCAAGGTGAAACTGTCATGAACTGAAACTTCACAGCTGTAGGTAGAGCTAGAACGGATTGGATTTCATAAATCCTCAGTGCCGATGGTTCTTCAGAGAAACAGAACCACTAAGGAATGTTGGTTCTATGGAGAGGGAGGGAGGAAAAGGGAGAGAGTTGGAGATCGATTGTAAGGAATTGGGTCACTCCATTGTGGAAACCAAGTCTCAAGATCTGCATTTGGCAACCTGGAGATGCAGGCGAGCCCATGGTGTAGTTCCAGTTGGAAGGCTGTCAGACTTGAGGTCCTGGAAGAGTTGGTGTTTCAGGCAGAAGACAGGAAAAAAGCCAACATCCTAGCTCAAAGGTAGTTAGGCAGCAGCAGTAACTCTTTTGTGCAAGAGTCGTATTTCTGTATTTCTTGTTCTATTCCGACCTTCAACCGATTGGATGAGGTCTACCCTCATTAGAAGGGACATTCTCCTTTACTCAGTCTCCCTTTTCAGATGCTATTGTCATCTGGAAGCACCAGGACAGACACACCCAGCCTAATGTTTGACCCTAATTCTGGGCACCCTAAGGCTCAGTCAAGTTGACATAGAAAATTCACTAACACAAATCCTAACAACCTCTGCCACGTGTTGGACAGCTGTGCTGTACCTGTGATCGATGCTCCTGAAGCTCATTTTGTCCCTAGCACACCTCACCCACGGAGCTAGGTTCTGCTCCTGTTTAAGGAGAGGCAGAGGGAGGTGGCTTAACCTCTCATGTAAAATGGGGATCCTTGGGGTAAATTTATATCTATCCATGATATTTTCTGACCCTATGTTAACCTCCTTCATTGTTTCTCTTTTTCAAAAAAATATTATTTAACTATGGTTTTACATTATAAAAATAATACATACAAGTGGTAAAATTTAAAATTGTACCAAATCATGCTCAGTACAGAGTAATTCTCATTCCACCATCAAAACAGTGTAACTTTTTTTAAAAAAGAAAATCATTCTAAGAAGTTTTTATGCACATAATTGTTTTCATAAAAGCACAAATGGGATCATACCATAAATTGTGATCTGCATTAAAAAATAACAGGATTACATAATGTGATTGCATCATCGTACATATTACTTACTGTGCCTTGTTTTTAAGAATAGCTACATAGAATCCCACTGTTTGTAGCATCATCGTTCAGAATTTAAAATTCAAGTCTGGCCTTATAGCTCAGTGGTTAAGCCCTGGGCATAGGGAGCTGGATCCCACATGGCTAGCCGTGGTTGGAGTCCTCCTGGTGTCTCAGTAAACACACTGGGCACGTATGTGTGCATGCCCCAAATCCTGATAAGATGAAGCAACGGAGGGAAAAAAAACAAAGAGATTGTGATGTGACCACACCCTATTGGGGCATGCTCAACTCTCTCTCTTTCTCTCTGTGCATGTGACCTCTGGCAATAAAAACAAAACAAAACAAAATTCAAAATTCATATGGTGAATTTCACCTAATCACCAATGTGTTGTTACAAAGGTAGGGTCTTTGGGTGGTGATTAGACAGAGCCCGTATTAATGGGATGTAAAAGAAGCCTGAGAGACGCCGCTCCTTCTGTGAAGTGAAGACACAGAGGAAGGCACCGTCTGTGAGCCAGGAGCTGGCCCTCACTAGATACCGAGTTTGACGGTGCGTTGATCTCGGCCTTCCCAACTTCCAGAACTACAAGAGAGAAATGCTTGTTGGGTGTAAGCCATCCAGTTTATAGCATTTTGTTATAGCAGCTGAAATAGTCTAAGACAGACCAGCCATTCTCAGTCCCAGAAGGCCTGATACCTATTTTGCAATTCTTCCTTTATCAATCCGATATTATAAATAATAGATAATGAATCCCTTTTAACACATATTTATTATTTAATTAATTTTTTTTTTTTGGAGAGGTTTTTGCTATAGAGTGTGTGCACTCACCAGAAAGAGAGACAGGAAGCAAGAAATCACCCCCCAGGGTGGATGGCCATGCCGCAATCTGTTCTCCATTCTCCTCTCGGGATCTTGGGCATGTACGCACACATACCTGGTGTGAGTTTAAGCCATTGGGCCCAGGACTCGAACCACGGTCGACTACATGGGAGTCCAGCGACATAGCCATTACGCCAACTGCTGGTCCCTTAACACATACTTGTAATAGACTCAAGGTAACGTCGTTCTGTCATGTAGAGGAGAAAGTGAAGGAAGGTGACGTGACCTGCATTTCAGTTGCAGCTGGATGTGGCCTTAGTGGGTTGTGCAACGTGCAGCTGATGCTGCCCCTGTGGGCAGGATTACTATGAAGGTGACTCAGAGGCGATCAGCCCTGTGAGCTATTCAAGGACCTCGAAGAGGCCACCACAGGCAGTCCCCATGGAGTGCTGTACAGTCGTTTCCAGTGTTTGCTTTTTATTTCTATTTCTGTTCTGTTTTATTTATTTATTTGATACAGAGCATGTGTGCTCACTAGAGAGAAAGAGTAAGCGAGACAGGCAGAGTGACCAAGCCACCCCTAGAGGGGATGACCATGCCACAGTCACGTCTCCATTTTCCTCCTGGGTTTTGGTGTGTACACACATGTGCCATGCGTATTTTTCAAGCCAACAGGTCTGGGACTCAAACCATGCAGTCAGCCCTTTGGGATCCAGCCACTTTCACCACCACTCTACCGCTGACCCCATTTTTGCTTTTTAGATGGTCCTCCAAGGGACTTTCTCTATTCCTCTGGGCCACTTTTCCTCCATGTCTGGAAATTAACCCAGGAAACGTACATTTAGGAATTGGTTATGTGTGTGAGCTTGCCCTGTAGTCTAGCAGTTAAGGAAGCCACATGGCTGACGGTCATGTGAATCCTAGCAGCTGAAAACCATGACGGGCGTGTGTGCGTACATGCCCCGAAACCCCACTGGGATGGAGAAATGGAGGAGGGAGATTGCAGGGTGGCCACACCCCACTGGAGGACTCTTTCTTCCTCTCTCCTGTCTCTCCTGTGTCTCTCTGGCAAGCCCATCTGCCCTCTGACCAAGAAAAGAGGAGTTGCTCTGCATCACGACATGATGTCTTTGTTCAGAAAGATGGCCCCCATTCATCACTGAGCACCAGCGTGAAGGACTGGCAGTTTCTGGCAGTTTCTTGCCAGCTCTGGGCCTTATCAGCTTTTTTCATCTTGGCTAATTAGATAGTCATGAAAAGTGGCATTTCATTTTATCCTGTGTCTTTTCCACTAGAAACGACTTTGTGCTTTTCTGTAAACCGTGTTTGGTCTTTGCTCATTTTTCTAGCGAGTTGCAAGACGTCGAGAGGCCCGCGTTACTGACCTGCTGTTGTGTCACACTGGGTGGGGTGGTATGCCAAGTTGACATTCTCCTCTTCTTCAGAAGAAAAACGTTTGAAATACAGTTACATAAACTATGACTTCACTATATTCGGTATTCATAGGGGAAGTAGAGGGTGTGAAGAGATTTGTATAAAGGGATTTCTGATGTGGTGTTTGCAAAAAGACTGCCAATGAGGAAGCAGTATCTAAGCAGATGTCTGAAGGAGAGGGAGACGTAGGAGTTTTCAGGGCAGGGAGGGAGGGGAAGAGCACGCCAGCCAGTGAAAGCAGTATAAGCCAAGGTTCTGTGGTGGGAAATCACCATGCTAATAGTAGTTAACATTTACTGAAGCACTCCTCTGCACTAGACATGATCCTAAACGCCTCGATGTCTAACCTCATTTCATTCTGACACATGAGTTACTTACTGTTGTGGAACGAACTTCCCCATGTCTTATAGCTTGAAACACCAAACATTTGTAGTCTCACATATTACTGTGGGTCAGGAAGTCAGGGTTGGGTGGCTTTGGCTCAGGGTCCCTCATGATGTTGCAGTCAAGATGGAAATTTGCCACTGTGAAAAACAGCCTGGCGGTGGGACCAGCAGTTAGTGTAATGGCTATGTTGCTGGACTCCCATGTAGTCGACTGCACTTCGAGTCCCGGAGCCGGTGGCTTAAACTCACGCCAGGCACGTGTGTGTGTGCGTGCCCAAGATCCCGAGAGGAGAATGGAGGAGAAGGGATTGCGACGTGGCCATCCCCCTAGGAGGTGATTTCTCTTTCTGTCCCTCTGTCTCTCTCTATCTTTCTGGTGAGTGCACGTGCCCTAAAGCAAAAACCTCTCAAAAAAAAAAACCAAAAACCAAAAACAAAAACAGAAAAACAGCCTGGCGGTTGCTCCAAAGGTTAGACGTAGATCCCTGTGTGACTTGGCATTTCTCCTGGTTACACCTGTAAGAGAAATGAAAACACAAGTCCACACAAAGCCCGCACACGAGTGTTTATGGTGGCATGATTCATAATAGGCAGAGTGGAAGCAACCCAGATGCCCAGCTGTTGAAAGGATCAACAGAATCCAGTGTACTCATCCCATGAACCATTATTCAGCACTAAAGAGGAATGCAATGCCGATCCATGTCATAGCATGAGTGAAGCCTGAACAGTGACCCCCAATCTTTTTGGCACTGGGGCTAGTTGTGTGGAAGACAGTTTTTCCATGGACTGGGGAGTGGTGGAGAAGGGTGGTTTTGGGGTGATTCAAACTCATGTATTGTGTACTTTATTTCTCCTATTATTGTAATCTGTAACGAAATAATGGGACAACTCACCGTGCAACATTTGAGATCGCTCCCCAGCACGAGCGTTACCGCCCCAGCTCTACTGCAGATCACCAGGCGCTGGATTCTCATAAGGAGCGCACGGCCTAGATCCCGTGCATGCACAGTTCACAACAGGGTCTACACTCCTGTGAGACTCTCAGGCCACTGTCGGTGGGACAGGGGTGGAGCTCAGGCATACGCCAGTGATGGGGAGTAAACACAAATGCAGCTTCGCTGGTGCGCCTGGCCTCGGGCTGTGTGGGTGCAGTTTCTAGCAGGCCTTGGATGCGTGCTGGCCTGTGGCCCAGGGGTTAGGGGCCCCTCATGGTAAAGACATGCTAAGTGAAAGAAACCAGTTACAAAAGACACATATTGCGGGAACCAGCAGTTAGCGTAATGGCTATGTCGCTGGACTCCCATGTAGTCGACTGCGGTTCACGTCCTGGACCCGGTGGCTTAAAACTCACGCCGGGCGCATGTGCGTGCGTGCCCAAGATCCCAAGAGGAGAATGGAGGAGAAGGGATTGCGGTGTGACCATCCCCCCCAGGGGGTGATTTCTCGCTTTCTGTCTCTATGTCTCTCTGTCTGTCTGGCGAGCGCACGCGCCCTATAGCGAAAATCTCTCCAAAAAAAGAAAAAGAAAAAGAAAAAGACACATATTGCATGATTCCATTTTTGTATTATTATTTTAACTGAATTTATACATTCAGTCACTGTGTATCACTACAGCTTGTCGAATGAATTTACTCAACACGAGCACACTTCTCGCCAGTCCAGTTGAAGACATCATACACATTATCATTATAAAAATATGGAACGCTTCACGAATTTGCACGTCATCCTTGCACAGGGGCTGTGTTAATCTTCTCTGTAGCGTTGCGATTTTAGTATAGGTAGTGGCGAAGTGAGCACGCGTGGTTCCCTTTACATGAAATGTCCAGAATCAGAGACTCAGTGGAAACAAGAGCATAGAACAGTAGTTGCCAGAACTGGGCCAGGGAAGCTGAGGAGGGCCTGCTATAGATCCATCTTTTATTTTTAAAGAGGTTTTTGTTACAGGATGCAGTGTGTTTGCTGGAGAGACAGAGACAGAGAGTCAGAAAGCAAGAAATCACCCTCCAGGGGGAGAGCCACACTGCAATCCCTTCTCTTCCAGCCACTTCTTGGGATTTTGAGCATGCACACACATGTGCCTGGCATGAGTTTGAAGCTCCCGAGTCTGGGACTCGAACTGCGGTTGACTACATGGGAGTCCAGTGACATAGTCATTACACTATATCCCTATAGGTACATCTTTTTTTTTTTTTTTTGATGGGGATTTTTTTTTTTTTGGAGAGGTTTTTGCTATAGGGCGCGTATGCCCGCCAGACACAGAGATAGAAAGCGAGAAATCACTTCCCCCAGGGGGGATGGCCATGCCACAATCCATTCTCCTCTTGGGGTCTTGGGCACGCACACACACGCGCCTGGCGTGAGTTTAAGCCACTGGGTTTGGGACTTGAACCGTGGTCGACTACATGGGAGTCCAGCGACATAGCCATTACGCTAACTGCTGGTCAGCTACAGGTGCATTTTAAGGGATGATGGAATGTTCTAAAATAATTGTACAACTCAGTAAACACACTAAAACTCGAGCCTGTACATTTTAAAAGGTGAAATCTGTGTTACTAAAATTATATCTCAGTAAAGCTCATATTCAATAAAAGATGAAAGCTTGCCTGGGGCTGGGTGATTCATTCCAAGGTGGAGCCTCCCATACCTGGCAAGCCAGGGCTGGCTCTGGGAGGGCAGCTTCCACCCCTAGCCCACATGGCCTCACCACAGGGTTACTCGGTAGCGTTTATGACATGGCAGTCGGCTTCTGTAGAATGAGCAATCCAAAAGGCAGATCAGGGTGGAAACCATTATGCCCTGGTCTTGAAGTCACGTACTCACTTCCTGTTATGTTGGACGCGTTGGTTGGCCGTGAGTCAGTGTGAGAGGGCGCACGGCTGGTGAGGATCACTGGGGGCCAGCTCAGAGGTCGGCAGCCACATGACACGACAGTCCTTGGCAGGACATCCTAATTGTTACCTTCATTTTATAGATGAGAAAACTGAGGCACAAAGCTTATGTAACCTGGCCATTTTTATACAACACATTAATGGTGGAGCCAGGGCTTGAACCTAGGCAGTTTGCACTGAGGGGTTGCTTTTTTTTTTTTTGGAGAGGTTTTTGCTATAGGGTGCATGCGCCTGCCAGAAAGAGAGAGACAGAGAGACAGAAAGCGAGAAATCACCCTCCAGGGGGAGTGGCCATGCCGCAGTCCCTTCTCCTCCATTCTCCTCTTGAGATCTTGGACACATACGCACATGCGCCCGGCATGAGTTTAAGCCACTGGGTCTGGGACTCAAACAGCAGTCGACTACATGGGAATCCAGTGACATAGCCATTACGCTAACTGCTGGTCCTGAGGGTCTGCTTTCTTAACCTCTGTAAACATTGTTACGTGTGTGTGTGTGTGTGTGTGTGTGTGTGTGTGCGCATGTGTGTGTGTGTGGGGGGTTAGACAGGATCCCTCTACGTCACCCTCCTGACTCAGCCTCTCAAGTAACTGGGACTACAGGTGCACACCACCATGCCTGGCTCTTAGGGGTGGGTCAGGGATTGAACTCGGATCTCTGATACGGCCTCAGCTTGCTGGACAGCAATGTGTAGCATGCACTACTGCAGGTGGGCCTGCTGGGAGCTGCTTTGACTGCGACCTGTAGTAAAACAATCAGAAATCTCATTTTACATCACGAGGCGTACTCATCGTAGATGGAAAACAAGGCTCTCAGCATGACCTCCGCCCAGTTCACCTGGATAGTTTCTGTCTGTTTCTTTTGGGGGAAGCCAACTGTGACTCACCAAATTATTTTCCTGCTGTCTTACATTTAAAAAAATGGCATGGAACTGACCCCATAGCCAAGTGGTTAAAAGAGCCGGATCCAACATGGGCACCCGCAATTCAAATCCTGGCCCCAGTGGCTTGAGAAACGTGTGTGTGTGTGTGTGTGTGTGTGTTTGTGCGTGTGTGTGTATAGTACGAAGTCCCAACGGGCTGAGAAATGGAGGAGAAGGGATTGTGCATGACCGTGCCACACTGAGCTTTCTCCTCTTTCCCTCCTTCTCTGGCATGTGCACGTGCCCTCCAACAATGACAGAGAAACTGTCGCTGCCCCGTGTTGTCTTTGCAGAAACGTAAAAGCTGAAATTCAGTGCTCCCCTGCTGTCTGTTCCATAGCCAGTTCTCTTTCATAGCGCTCACCCTTAAACGCACCGTGCAGCAGGAAACAATGCAGGGAAAAGAATACCCCTTGAGGTTTACCTTTCCTCTCGAAAGGAAACATTGTTTTTCGTGTGTGTTTCTAAAATACTTTATGCGGGTGTTATGTCCCTATGTCCTCTGTCCCTGTTAACATTCGTCTGTGAGTGCTAAGCGTGCCGGTGCTTTATCTGCTCAGTAATCTGTATTGGAGACTTTTCTCTTTAGTGGCCCTACAGCCAGTACATTCCTTTTTTAAAAGTAATTTTTTTCTGGGACCAGCAGTTAGCGTAATGGCTATGTTGCCGGACTCCCATGTAGTCGACCGCGGTTCATGTCCCGGACCCGGTGGCTTAAACTCAAGCCAGGCGCGTGTGCGTGCGTGCCCAAGATCCCGAGAGGAGAAGGGATTGCGGTGTGGCCATCCCCCCCTGGCGGGTGATTTCTCGCTTTCTGTCTCTCTGTCTCTGTCTCTGTTTGGTGAGGGCACGTGCCCTATAGCAAAAACCTCTAAAAAACAACAACAACAACAACAACAAAAAAACAAAAAAACCCCCAAAAAACTGTGAGAGCAAAATAACTCACTAGAATATAAAGATAAGAACTGAATGAGCTGCCACTCATGGAGAAAGGGGGTATGTTCACAGAACCAGTATTTTTCCTCATCCCATCTCCATCTGATGTCACTCCAATTAGTCCTGCCTGTTTATCCAGCCCGGGCTGCCTGCCTGTCATCTCCCTTTCAGTCCTGTCTGCCTCCTTATTTGTCGGTTCGTCTGTCTTTCATCCTCCCTGTGTATTTGTGCTTGGCTGGAGGTAGACCCTGGGTGCTTGTGGCTGGATTAGTAGGGGAGGGCAGGGCCAGGGGCGAGCTGGTTCTGCAGGTTGCCCTTCACTCTGCCCAGCCCTCCCTTTACAGACCCCTCTCCCGCCTCCTGTCTCCCTTGCCCTCTCTGAGCCTGGCCCTCCTGGCCTCTCCCCTGGATCCGGGCTCCTGATTCATGCAGTTTCCTGTTCCATCAGCGTGCGTGCATCTGCCCCTTAGAAATGCTTCTTCTTTTGCCCACTGATGCCTCCTCTACTCCTCCCCTTCCTCGCCCATGTAGATCGTTCCCTTTCTTCCTCGACTGCCCTCCGATGGCGAGGCTGCTCCTCTGTGCGGGGGGGCAGTGCCAGTGGAGTTTCCTGGGAGGTACAGGCATGGCCCTGGGGTGGCAGGCCCCGGGGTTAATGGAGTTGGTGGGCAGGCAGAACTGATTCTCTTCTTTTTTATTTTTTATTTTTGGAGAGGTTTTCTGCTACAGGGCTCACCAGAAAGACAGAGAGAGACAGAGAGACAGAAAGCGAGAAATCACCCCCCCTGGGGGATGGCCACGCCCCAATCCATTCTCCTCCATTCTCCTCTCGGGATCTTGGGCACGCACGCACACACGCCCGGAGTGAGTTTAAGCCACTGGGTCCAGGACCCGAACAGCAGTCGACTACATGGGAGTCCACAGACGTAGCCATTATGCAACTGCTGGTCCTGCCTTCATAGACCTTTAGCATGTAACCTCTGCTTTAAAAACAAACAAGCAAACACTGTTAGTCGATAGGAGACGTGATTGGCATTTCTACATCGTTTATAAAAGCATAATTTTATAGATATTTTACATTATATTCAGTAAAACTTCCTTAAGGAATTCTTGAGGCTCTCACTAAAACATTTTTACCTGCTGGTGTACTCTTCTTGTTTTTTTTAAGAGAGTTTTTTTTTGCTATAGGGCACGTATGTGCTCGCCAGAGAGAGGTGGAGAGACAGAAAGCGAGAAATCACCCCCCAGGGGAATGGCCATGCCGCAAACCCTCCTCCATTCTCCTATCGGGATATCGGGCACGCACGCACATGTGCCCTGTGTGAGTTTTAAGCCTCTGGGTGGGGACTCGATCTGTGTCAACTACATGGGAGTCCAGCAGTATAACCATTATGCCATCTGCTGGTCCCGTTCCCCTTGTTTTAATTGTTAGAGGGCATAAGCACCTGCCAGAGAGAGACACAGAAAGAGAGAGAGAAGGGAGGAGAAACCCTCCCCACCAGTGGGGCATAGTCGTGCTGCAGTCCCTTCTCCTCTATTTCTCCATCCTATCGGACATTGGGCACGTATGCGTGTGTGCCTGTCATGTTCCCTTTTTTTTTTTTTAAAGATAATGAGAGAGAAAGAGAGATTTCTCTTTTTGCCTTGGCTTCTGGGAAGCTCCGTTGCTTTAGATGTTCACTGAGCAGCTATTCTAGTCAGGTGCTTTCTTTTGCCCACTCCTGCCTCCCTCCTTTTAATAAAGGATATTGGTTGCTATACTTTTCTCAAGATTCCATGAGTTTTTCCCTATGGGAAGTCCACCCTAGCCCTGGTTTCAGCCTGAGCAGACTGTATCCGTGTGGCTGGGAAGAAGCCGTGTGGCTTTTCTGGGGCTTGGGGCCTAAGGCAGTTGGCTGAGAGGCGGAGAAGTGACTCCAGGCTGCAGCACTTACAGAGTGACCTCGGGCGGGTCATCTGGTCTCTGCATCTGTTCCTGCTTCTCTGAAGTGGCTGCGGTGACCTGAATCTCGGGGTTGTAGTTGGGATTCAGATCCTTCCTATAACGCGGC